CTGGCCCAAATACTGATCCGAATGCGGACCTTAACAGCTCCCAACCTGCGTTGCGGAAACTGTTTCGGCGAGGTACAAACGAGGCACAGGGAATCACGAATGGTACCGTAACAAGAATCAGAGCAAGCTCAAACGCACCCACCCTCTCCCGCTGATCCAAGAGTCAAACTCTCATCAGCAGTGAGCGTATGGCTCAGCTGGTTATAAGATGACTTGTGACCTGAGTCGAGCTGGAGGTCACCAACGCTCACCTGCTTGCGCACCAGCATTCAACATGATCAGGATAGCTGAAAGTGCCAAGAGCAGTGAGAGAGTTCAAGATCAGTCCCATTTCAACAAAAGATGACACTCACATACTGGCTTGCCTCACTGGCGTACCGCCTTCCACTGCCTTGCCTCACTGACTTACCGCCTTCCAATGCTTTGCCTCACTGCGGAAGGGGGAGTGGGATAGAGAGGGTGGGGGCAAGCAAGGGGCAGTGGGAGCGGAACGGGAGGCGGAGGAGGGGAAAGGGGCAGGTAGAGGTTGGGTGGTAAAATAAAGGAATTGAAGCATGGAGTGATGGTTTCTTTACATGATGTCACGTGGTTTGAAGCAGCGAGCTGCGATTGCGGCTACAGTGCTTACTGGTGATGCTCGGAAGCGCTTAGACACACACGAGGTCGCTCATACAGAGGTGACATGCACGTTTCCGCAATGTGGCACACCCACTTTGCAGGAAAAGCAGATTAAAATGTGTGAATGCAAACAGAGTGAAAGGGGATATACACATACCAAGCAGCACATGATTAGCTCAGTTCTCAATGGCTCTTCGTTTAAGTTTACGAATCAGACTTAGCATGGCACGGGTTTGACTTGGCATCGCACGGATCTGACTTGGCATGACACGGTTGGGACTTGGCATGGAGGCATTGGTTGCATGGACATGGTAATCAGTGACACAAATCGCAACTGTAGAATATTCTCACCCCAACTAGTCCCAAATCTGCCACTGAATTTGGGATTAGCAGAAACGGGAGATGCAACAACAAAATGCCAAAAAAGGTATAAATTAAGAAAAAAGGTGGTGCATGCAGAGAGATGTGACATGCATGTTTCCGCAATGTGGCACATCCTCCTTGCAGGAAAACAGAATCAAATGTGTGAATGCAAACAGAAAGAAGGGGATACATACATACCAAGCAGCACTTGGTTAGCTCCTCGGTTGAGGGCACAGATGTGACTTGGCATGGCACGGATGTGACTTGGCATGGCACGGATGTGACTTGGCATGGCACGGATCTGACTTGGCATGGCACGGATCTGACTTGTGAGTGGCGAGGTAATGGAAATGGAGCATACTGCGATGGGTAAGTATAATGTGCTAAGGAGATGCAGTTGTAAAAATGCAAGAAGCAGTCAGAAGGATCACATCTTGTCTCATTGAATAGTGACACTCCCCCTTCCCCCTTCCTACCCCACTGCTGTGTTACTGCTTGACTGGAATGGAAGCAGTTTGTCAGTCAAGCCTCCGGCTCCCATTGCTTTGTTTAAAGTTCATTGCGTCTACTCAGGATATTGTTTCCTCTCAGCCACTCAGTGATTTGTACCTGAATACTAACCTGAATACTAACCCGATACCTGAATGCTGGCCTGACACTCGAAAACTGACCTGTCACCTGATACACAAGTATTGACCTAATACATCAATACCGACCTGATACATGAATGCTGACCTGAAACCTGAAAACTGACCTGATACATGAATGCTGACCTGAACAGCTCTCAATTTGATGTGCAGAAACTGGTCCGGCATGGTACAAACCAGAGCAGGGGAATTACGAAAGCTACAAGAATCAGTCCCAGCTCAAGACACACTCACCTTCTCCCGTTTCTGTTCCCCATCCTCATGTTTCAAGCTCGAGTCAGAAGTAGCCACATGGCTCACCTGATTGATATTGCAAGGTGACTTTGCGGTCGTGTCGAATTTCACCGAAGCTCACCTCGTTGCGGGCCAGCAGAGAGCACTGAAAGGTTGCGCACCCCGCCCTCCGCTGCTTTGCCTCACTGACAGAGGGGGAGCGGGAGGGAGAGGATGGCGAGGGCGAGGGGCATGGGGAGGGGGAAGGAAGGCGGAGAGGGAGGGGCAAGGGGCATTGAAAGGGTGAGTGCTGAGGTAAAGGGTATGGGCATGTGGAAAGACAATCAAGTCATGGTTTTGAAGCCGTGAGCAGCAATCACGGTCACAATGCTTTCTGGAGATGCTTGTATTGAAAGATCACAGCAACATGCATGACAAGAAAAAGTGGCAGGCATGCTTTCACAATGTGGCACAACCATTTTACAGGGGATGTAGAAGGACACATGTGAAGGAGATCATGTGAAGCAGCACATTCATTACAAGCACCACACTCATGCCACGCAACACATTCATGGCAGGTAAGGTAAGGGATATGGGGCGTGAAGTTATGATTCTCAAGCTATGAGCTGCAATTACGGCCACAGTGCTTACTGGTGATGCTTGAAAGCCCACAGAAAGGCATACAGAGTCACCAGCACAGCATAATCTCACAGAGCGCCACACGCATTTCAAAGGGGAAGAAGAAGGAAGTGCCTCGTTGGGGAGGCGATTGAACATAATGTCAAAGAGATCATGCCAACTGACTCAGTCATGCCAACTGACACATTCATGCCAACTGACACATTCATGCCAACTGACACATTCATGCCAACTGACACATAAATGCCAGCAGCACATTCATGCATACAAGTGCCTCTAGTGGCATGAACAACCATGCATACAAACAATGTGAGACATACCCATGCAGTCCGCCCCTCAACTGCACCAAACAACAAGATCAACAGCCCATACACAAACCAAACATCTTAGCTCTTGCAACTTGTGTCGTAATTTTGTGATATATACACATAAATATTCATGATAGCATTTACATTACATGGACCTACACGTAACAATCAGTGAATTATATGATACAAGGTACAACTGTTCCTATACACTAACTAAGGGTGTGTAACTTTTTCGATTTGTAAAGTACGGACGTCTGGCCCGTACGTACTTTGAAAGGGTTACTGTCTTCGCTAATATTCGGGTACAACTTCGCCAGAACCCATGCGACATCGCCAACGTCCGTACCACAACTGCCACTTTCACGCCTCTCACTCGTCCGTTCAACTGTTCTGACAGAGTCCGGACATCCGTCCGTACTGTAAAACGTCTCTGACACTCCATTGGCGCGCGAAAAAAGAAATGCAGAAGTCATTGCGGCTCGATTTCCATGCACAAAAATCCGTCGCCACGACGCGCCTCATACACATTTGGAGGGAGCACAAATTTCTCCAACGTCCACTTCCCCATCCACCGCGGGAATACAAGCACTACAAAATGAGTCCCACCCAGCATCAAAACACAACACCCAGAACCTCAACTAGTTTGTAAGCATGGACCCGTCTTCTGTTGCTGACAACTCAGAGCCCTCCAACACGCCACAAGAACAACCGCAACCGCCTACTCCCCTGGCCGACCCCTCCGACCCAGCGCCTGAGACGCAGGAGTCCGCGAACCCCCAGCCTGCAACTACCGTCGCAGCCCCACGCAACGATGTGCTGCTCAATGACCCCACATGGTGGGGTAACAACCTGCCATCCCCGTCTGACAGCTACGACGAGGACGAGGACTACGGCGTCGGCGAGGAAGTTGCCGACCCAAACCCGCAGGGAATGGACGAAGAGCTCACCCCCGACGACACCAACGCCCGGTCTGACGGTCAGCCTGGGACATCACGTCGCTCCGACGCTCGCACGCGTGATAGGTGGTCTCCCGAGGAGGAATGGGAGCTGATCGTCTGCCGTTACGACCTCGACGACCAAATCCGCAAGCAGACAGGACAGCAAGGGCGGTCCTGGTATGTGACCATGCATCGGGCGCTGCTGGAGCGGGTACCTGGATGGCGCCACGACCACAACAGGATCAAGGCCAAGATTAACCGCATGTGCGACACATACTTGCGCTGGCGCGACAAGGGCGTGCGGCCGAGTGGACGCGGGCGTCCGCGCGGGTTGCCCGTCTGGTACGACGTCGCGGACGACATATGGGGTACGCGTCCTGCAATTGTACCTCCTGTAATTGCCACGTCCGATGATGCCAATGAAACGAACACAACTCCACAACCCACACGCACAGCAACTACCCGTGACAATGTCCCCACCCCCACCGATGCACCAGCCCCTGCTGCCACCGAACCCGCTAGTCCCGCTCCCGTGCAGCAGAGCCAGGTTCAACCGTCGCCCACCGCGCCTTCTCGACCGGCACGAAGCGCACCCTCCGTACCTCGCCGTCGCGCCTTCACACCTCTCTTCGGCTTGGGAACGCCCGCTCCTGCGTCTGCACCCGGCCGAGTCGTACGCTCTGGCGCGCCGAGCGAGGATAATCCCTCCTCTACCACTCCTGGAACGCCTGAAGCTCGTGCGCGAAGGACGCCGCCGCCCCAAACAGCCGCACCGACTGCTACCGGATCACCTACAATACCCGCCCCCCGCTCTGCGCCCGCGACTCCAACGCCAGCATCTACACCGCCGACCGCTCCCCACTCAGCGCCGACGGGGCCCGCGTCCTCTTCGCCGTCAACCACGGCCCCCACCCCGCTGTCACTCCCCACAACTCCTACTCCTCTCTCCCCAGACACAATCCCCGTGCCTGCTGCTCCCACGCCAAATGCATCGGGTTCAAGCGTCACCGGTGCGTCGGCGGGCGTTTCCATGCGCGGCCGCCGCATCATCTTGGGTGCGCGTACGGCGACTGACGGGGGGGAAGGGTGTTCGAGGCACGCTTGGTGGCAGTACCCGCGCAAGGACGGGGACAAGCAGCCTGACCCAAAGACAACGCGAAAGCCCAAGCCGAAGAAGAAGAGCGACATACTAGCCGAGGTGGCAGGAGACATTAGGGACCACTTCGCACGGCAGGAATCAAAGCAGGACAAGCAGTGGGAGGAATTTAAAGAAATTACCCGTGCGGCGTTCGCCGATTTTCGGGATGCGCGACGAGCCAGGAGGCGTAGATCGCCGCGGTCCACCTCCTCCTCCGAAGCTGAGGATTGAACCCTCGAACACTCGGTCCGGTAAGTCGCAGCCGTGCCGCAGGCCCGTCCAGCCACCATCGGTCGCGGACGTTCGGCGGACCAAGGCGGTCACGGGACCCAATGGTCAGCTCGATGTTCTGAAGCACTATGCATGCTCCAACCGTCTGAGGCACGAGCCGCGTATGGCATTCCATACGCTCATCGAGCACGCGCCACTTTCCCTTCAATCTCCCGTTCACGCACTCTATAATAATGCGTTGCCTGCTCTGCTGTGTGTTCCACTTGTCTTGTGCTTCTGGCAGGGCCACGCCGGGCGTAGCGCGGTATGGAAGGCAAATGTGGTTCTGGTGCGCGTACGCCGCATCCGCCACGAGCAAGTAGTCTCCAATATCCCCCGCCTCTATCCGTCTCTTAGCAGTAGAATTGTTGAAGACGCGTGCGTCGTTTACGCATCCCGGGTAGCCGGCTAGGTAGCTCCAAATGATGCCGTTAGAGTCACAAATAATCTGTAGTATTATGCTGTAGAAACCCTTCCTGTTTTTAAAATCGTCCTTGTGTCGTCCAAAGCCTCGGCATTTTATAAATGTCCCATCCACCGCGCCGACCACCCCGGGAATACCCCCCTCGTAACGGAAGTCGTCGGCCATGCCCGCTAGCTCATCGGCCTCTGGCCATTTCACCCACAGCGGGCCTAGCTGCTCCTTGACGAAGACAATGAATTGCCGGATCAGGCGTTGTGCATGTTGAGGCGCCACGCCAAATTGTAGCCCCAATTGACGATACGTGGCTCCGGTTCCTAAATAGACCAGCGTCATTGCCACCACCGTCTCCACAGCAACTACTCTTCGCCCAGTACCATGCCGGCTGACATATGCATCGACGAGGTAATCAAATACGTTGCGGTCCACGCGTAGTGTCTCCGTGAAAACCTGGAGTGGGATATTCGCCAGGAGGCCTTCCCACCTCTCTCTTTGAGCGGCGCGGTCCGCCCGCATGAATGTCCGGTCGTCGTCATCGTCAACAAGTTCAGACAGAATCGGCAACAACTGCACGATTCTGTCGTGCCTTGGTCGACCGAATATCTGCTGGTACCCACGGTAGAGAAGCGTCAACACGGCTATGAATTGCCGTGTTGACATGGTATGGAGTGACAGATTGCTTTTTGAAGGACAGTCACAATGATAGAACATGTTGTGTTTGTAGGTGTTGTTGCGTGCACTCACGCCGACAGCGTCGACAAAATTACGTGGCACATTGCCGAGGCGCGGTTGGTGTTGGGCGACTTTGACGAGGGGGGGGGGGGCGATTGTGGTATAGTGTGTAACTTGTCGCATGTTTTTCAAATTTCGAAAGCATAAAAAGTTCCACAAATGTGGTACGTACGGCACAACGTCCGTACCACACTCCCCAACGTACGGACGGGGCACAGTCCGTACGTTTGGTAGGCTCCGAACGTACTTTTAACGAAAACTGAAAAAGTTACACTTACTATGAACAAATCACATTTGTCACCGCCACCTGGGTTGTTGGGACTGCGGCTTCAGCGAGGCTGCTGTTGCAGTCTGGCCTCGCAGCTCACTGTTGCTCCCTGCTGCTGCCTGCACTCCCTTCTTCCCTTCCCCCCTCACAGCTGAAACTGAACCTTTTCTCAATCTGCTCGTGGCAGCAGCAGCCCCGCCAGAGGCAGCAGGAGCAGCGCGTCTCATCTTTGCTTCTGAGAGCTTGCTTGCTGCCTGCTTAGCTCTCACTTCCACCACCTTACCCATACATCCGGATCTTTTCTCAGCAGCACCACCAACCTTGGTTGCTTCTCCCTTCCCGTTCCCACCCCTTGCCGTGCCAGAGGCTGCTGCCTTCACAGGCGGCTTCACTGCCTGCTGTGTGGCTGATTTCGCTGCTGCTTTCACCGCTGCTCGTCCTGCTGGCGAAGCTGCTGCGCGTGCTGATGGCTTGCACGCAGCAGGCTTCACCACAGCTGTTGATTTAGCCGCTGAAGGCGTTGCTGCCTTTGCCACTGACCGCGCTGGTTTCTCTGCTGATCGTGCTGATGGCTTGCACGCAGCAACAGCAGATTTGTCTGCTGATGGTGCTGCTGGTTTCGCCACTGACCGAGCTGCTTTCGCTGCTGATCGTGCTGATGGCTTGCAAACCTCTTTTTTAGGCGAAGCAGCAGCAGGCATAGCAGCAGAAGCAGAAGAAGAGGCGCCAGCAATGGCGTCAGCCACGGCATCCGCAGCAGCAGCAGCCACCACAGGCACAGCAGCAGCCACCACAGGCACAGCAGCAGCAACAGCAGCGCCAAGAGCATCAGCAGCAGCACTTGCAGCAGCAGCCAGCGTGCTCACAGCAGAGGCAACAGCGGTAGCAAAGGCGGGCCTCAAAGGTGATAAGCCCAGCCACGCTCCAAAGCGGTTTTCTCGGCGCTTCTTGTTCTCATCAACAACAAACCGACCCATCTTAAAAGCAACCTCCGCGGAGGTCATCGCCTTGCATTTCACAGGTCTCCAGATCAGCTGATTTCGCAAATACGCCTCGTCCGCTTCCGTCCATTCAGTGACAAAATCGGCCGTGTTAAACGAATCATACTGTGCCACCCACTTGGGAATGGTCCACCCATCGCACGGTTTCAATGATCCGCTTCTCAGGTATTTTTCGTCCTCATCCGTCCAGTTTGTAATGAAATCGGCAGAGTTCACCGAGTTTCCCGCCAGGAGCAGCAGTTCCTCGCTCACAGTTAGCGTGGTACGACGAATTGTGATAGGTGCTCTCAGATAAGCCTCGTCCTCAGCAGTCCACTCGGTAATGAAATCGGAGGAGCTTACTGTAAGATTAGCTAAGAGCAGAAGCTCCTCGCTCACGCTGAGTTCAGCTGGTGCTGCTCTCAGCTGAGCTTCATCAGCCTCCGTCCATTCGGAGAGGCAGTCAAACGGGAGCGAGTTGAGTGCAGGGCAGTTGAGCCAGCTCGGTACCTTCCACAGGTACCTCGCTGCGTTTCCGAAGCACGTGGCAGCAGCAAGAGCCACGGCAAGAGCCGTTTCAGGGTTGACCGAGTCCATTCGAGCAGCGAGGGTTCTCAGAGGCACGAGGCTCCAGTATACATTTGAAAGGAGCGGTTCAAAATCCTTAAGAACTTGAAAAGCTGCCCCAACACTGTGAGGCACACCGTATAAACCCGAAACCCCGCTGACAAATGTATACTGGAGCTTTAAAAAGAAAACAGATTTCTTCGAGTTTCCACTTATAACAAACAATTCAAGTGCAATGTTGGGGTTAGACAGGAAGGTATGTACGCATGTGCACTCATCCATAACAGACTTGTTGGCAAGTAGGCAAAATACCAATTACAGGAATCAGATACCTACTCTAGGAATAAGTAGGCAAAATTCTATAAAAGTTGCGAATATGCACATTTGTATAAGCTGGATGCCATCCAGTCGATGGTTCTGCCCATTCTTTGTACACTGTATAATAGAGCCTGCTAATCACATAAGGGATTACCCCAATAGAACTAGCATACCAAATCAACGTGACCCTAAATGGCAAACATGTGTAACATGGTACCAATATACGGCTCAGATATGTGTTCCACGACAAATTCATTCGGAGCAAGGCAATACCAGTAATGGCAATTGGTCTTTGATGAGTTCAGCTGAACCGACTCAGGAATGGTTCCCTCCCTCACAGCAATTTTCTCCATCCTGGCATCTCGCAGCCTCATCCCATCCCACCATCTCTGCTCCTCATCCCATCCCACCATCTCTGCTCCTCATCCCATCCCACCATCTCTGCTCCTCATCCCATCCCACCATCTCTGCTCCTCATCCCATCCCACCATCTCTGCTCCTCATCCCATCCCACCGTCTCTGCTCCTCATCCAATCCCACCATCTCTGTTATCATCCCATCCCATGCCATGTGACTGTTGTGATGGTTCAGCCTGCAAAATGTTAGCAGAAGGACATGCTTCCAGCAGCAGATGGCATTGAAGCGATGTAAGAATGCTGATAGACTTTAACACTGACCCAACTACTGATCTGAATGCTGACCTGCACAGCTCCCAACCTGCTTTGTGGAAACTGGTTCGGCAAGGTACAAACCAGGCGTGGGGAATCACAAATAGTACCGTAACAAGAATCAGAGCAAGCTCAAACGCACCCAACCTCTCCCACTGATCCAAGTGCTCCCATAAGCAGTGACTGTATGGCTCAGGTGATTATAAGATGGCTTTTGACGTGAGTGGAGTGGAGGCGCCAAGCAAAGCATCAGACGGCTCTTCCGCTGGAAACGTGTCTGATGCAGAACCATCACCTGCTCTGTGCCGTGTGATTGTTCTGATGCTACAGCATGCCATTCCAACAGCAATTGGCGCTGAACACAATACTCACCTGAATACTCACATGAATACTCACCTGAATGCTGACCTGAATGCTGACCTGAATGCTGACCTGAATGCTGACCTGAATACTCACCTGAATACTCACCTGAATGCTGACCTGAATGCTGACCTGAATGCTGACCTGAATGCTGACCTGAATGCTGACCTGAATGCTGACCTGAATGCTGACCTGAATGCTGACCTGAATGCTGACCTGAATGCTGACCTGAATGCTGACCTGAATGCTGACCTGAATGCTGACCTGAATGCTGACCTGAATGCTGACCTGAATGCTGACCTGAATGCTGACCTGAATGCTGACCTGAATGCTGACCTGAATGCTGACCTGAATGCTGACCTGAATGCTGACCTGAATGCTGACCTGAATGCTGACCTGAATGCTGACCTGAATGCTGACCTGAATGCTGACCTGAATGCTGACCTGAATGCTGACCTGGGTTCTGACCTAAATACTGACCTGAATGCTCACACGAATGCAGGCCTGAACAGTGACCTCTAAATGCGGAAGTCTTAGGATAGAAGAGGAAGAGGGCCAACTCTTCGTGGAAATTCAAATCAACCTGAATAACGACTTGAATCCTCGCCTGAACACTTCCCAACTGACTTGAAAAATTGACCCGGATACTGACCACCTGACGCAGGCCTGATGTGCATCCTGATTGAATACTGGCCTCAACAGCTCCCAACCTGTCTCACGAAAACTGGTCCGGCGCTGTACTAAACAGAAGAGGGAAATCAAAAGTGGATACAAAAATCAATCGTAAGAAGGAAGAAATCAGTGCAAGTGGAATCGGAGGCAATAGAAGGTGGAGTTGCAAAAATCACAGCAATGCAATGAGACAGTAATGAGCAAGCCATACTTCAAAAGAGGACCAACTCTTTCCTGGAACGTCAGATTCAACTGAATAAGCACTTGAATACTAACTTAACTTGAATACTCACCTGAGCTGAACAGTTGTCAACCTGCCCAACTGTGTCATTGTGAGGTGGCTTCTTGGTCCACTCAAAGGTCAGCAAAGCCTGCATGGCATTGGGACAGCATTTTGATAGAAGTGGAACGCGGCGGAGTGTCAGATGACAAGGAGTCAGAGGGTTCACCACAGAGCAGGTCGCAATCAACCAAAGGTTCACTCCCGCCCCGCACGCACTGCTTTGCCTCAATGAGGGAGGGTTAGGGGCAGGGAGAGGGCGAGTGCTGAGGTATTATGGGATGGGAAGCGGGGCATGGGGTGTTATTTCTCATGTCATTTTGATTCCCGAGCTGCAATTATGGTCGCATGCAACGAAAGGTGGACCTCCACACCCTCCACTGCTTTGCCTCACTGAGGGAGGGGAGTGGCGGAAAGGAAAGGGGGAGGCGAAGCGGGAGGGGGTCGGGAGAGGGTGGGTGGTGGTGAGGTAAGGAAAACGGGCCATGGGGTGATGGTTCTGATGTGATGGTGCAGTTGCGATGAAAGAAAGAAAGAGTGTGAGTAGCATCTCAATCAGCACGGATGGAGATATCACGTCTATCTATCAAATGCCCTACCCTACATACGCTGCAACCTCAACAGCCCATACAGCAAGTCAGAGCTCCTTGTTTCAGCAACTTAGACCCAGTGTGGGGGGCACGTGGGTGACGGCAGTGGGGGCGAGCCGGCCTTCTACCACTACCACGCCAGCAGCACCGCGCCCTACACCGTTGCCTGCCTCAAGGGCTGCGTCTCCGCGTCCGACTGGGGCACCCTTGGCTCCGCCTCTTGCACCAACGCCTCCAGTGAGTGCCTGGGGGGATTTCTGTGGCCTGTCGGCTTTGAGTGTCAAGGGTTGTGAGTGTCAAGGGCTATGAGTGGCGAGGGTTGTGAGTGTTTGCAGCTGGTACATTGTTGCATCTCTGAACCTGTGCTCACCCCTCAACATGCATCTCTCACCCCTCAACATGCATCACACACCACTCAACATGCATCTCTCACCCCTCAACATGCATCTCTCACCCCTCAACATGCATCTCTCACCCCTCAACATGCATCTCTCACCCCTCAACATGCATCTCTCACCCCTCAACATGCATCTCTCACCCCTCAACATGCATCTCTCACCCCTCAACATGCATCTCTCACCCCTCAACATGCATCTCTCACCCCTCAACATGCATCTCTCACCCCTCAACATGCATCTCTCACCCCTTAACATGCATCTCTCACCCCATCCCCCCCCCCGGCCCCTCCCCACTCCCCTTCCCCCCTCCCCTCCCACTCTCCTCTTCCCTCCCGTCCCCCCTCCCCTCCCTCTGGGCGCCGCACAGCTGAGCTCTCTGAACCCCATCCCCCCCTCCCCTCCCCCTTCCCCTCAACCGCCCCTCCCCCTCGGCGCGGCACACAGCTGAGCGACTTGGGGCTGAAGGACGTGGACGAGCCCACGCTGCACGAGGTGCCGCTTCCTGGAATCTTCTCAGACGACCAGCAGTTCGCCCTGCTGCTCAAGGTGCGCCTCTGCCTCCCCCTTCCTGCCTCTGCCTCCCTCCTCCTTCCATCTCGCCCTGTAATGCCGCGTATGGTACTGCCATATGGCAATACCCGTCACACCACATAGCTTGCACGATCAATGCCCGGATGGAACCAGTGGGTGGAGGGAGCAGCTGCTGCTGCCACCCTCCCTCACCCACATTGCCCTGGAAGCCCCTCTCTCACCTCCCCCCACATTGCCCTGCCACTTCCCATGCACCCACTCTGCCCCTCTGCCGCCCCCATAGGGCTCCAGTATCTGCGTGTACCTTTGCACACCCCCTAAAGTCCGTGTCCGCTGCACAAGTGCTGCTTGCTCCCACCAGCCCCGCCTCTCCCTGCACCCCTCACCCCGCGCCCTCCCCCATCCCCTCGCACCGTGTGCCCACCGTGTACCCACCGTGTGCCCACCACCGCCACCCCGCCAGGTGGTGCAGACTCTGCTGCATGAGGGCCGCCCCATGGAAGCTGAGCGCCTCGTTGAGACCGCTCTTTCCCGGAACCTTCCCAAGCCCATGCGAAAGCAGCTGCAGTCAGCCATTGCTGGTGAGAGCCCGATCCTTCTTCCGGCCATTTCCCCTCCTGAGCAGTGGGAGACGGAGGAGGAGGAGGAGCTGCAGGTTACCCACACCGGTCACCCCCATGCCCGCCACCCCCAAACCCTAACGCAGGCAGGAGCGCAGGAAGCAGCAGGGGCGGTTCACGGAGGGAAAGGGAGGCGGCGGGGGGTGACTCCAGGGCGCCACGAAGAAGCAGGGCGCGGGCCCCCCGAGGGCGCCACGGCGGGTGACGGGAGGGGGGCCGCGCACGGGCCCCCGAGGGCGGCTCGACGGGCGACGGGAGGGGCCGCGCGCGGGCCCCCAAGGCGCCGCGACGAGGCGACGGGAGGGGGCGGCGCGCGGGCCCCCAAGGTGCCGCGACGAGGCGACGGGAGGGGGGGACGCGCGGGCCCCCAAGGCGCCGCGACGAGGCGACGGGAGGGGCCGGCGCGCGGGCCCCCAGGGCGCCGCGACGAGGCGACGGGAGGGGGCGACGCGCGGGCCCCCAGGGCGCCGCGACGGGCAGAAAACCGCCGCGCGCCTCGGGGCGCACGGCGGGCAGAAAACCGCCGTACGCCCCGAGCGCACGGCGGGATGAAAAACCCTAAAAATTTTCGCACGGCAGGAAGAAGACGGCGCGCGCCCGAGGCGCGCGAGAAGCAGAACAGCAGCGGAAGCAGTTAGGTGGCGGGCCCACCCACAGGATCGACCCAAGGGGGTCGACCTGCTCTGATACCATGTCGAAACTAGCAGACAGACACAAGAATGAAGAAAGGAGGGTTTGCACTAGCAGCAGTTGGCATACATATAGGAAACCCTAATTGGGTTGTACTCGCTATAGAGTACCCCACTGCAGGCTAGACAATAATAACATTCTGACAAAGTGGTCTTTTGTCCACTGACTATGAGCCTCCCTCTTCTGTCTAGTGATCTTTTGTCCCTGCTCCGGCTCGTTTTCCTCCTCGTTCCCCTCTTCCTACTCTCCTTCCCCATCTCGTCTCCCATCTACCTGGACAACTCGTTGTGACCATCCCCTGTTCCTGGATTCCACCCTACGCACCTTTGCTTCTCTCCTCCTCGTGTTTCTCCTCCTCCACTTCCTTCTCCTCCTCAGTTGTCCCTCGCTGCATTTCCTTTTCCATCTCCTGACTTCCTTCGAGTCGCTATATTTCCTTGCTGACGTTGGTGTGCCCCCATCTAGCCTTTCTTCGGTCCTATTTGCGGATAACAGGGTCATCATCCTCCTCTGTCAGGAGCCTAGACTGGAGGGTGAAGCAAAGCACATCCAGCTACGGTACTTCCTCCCGCACGAGCTGCACTAGCATAGCCAGACACGCATGGTACAATTGGCCTCAGGGGCCAACATCATTGATGTCTTCACTAAGGTGCTCCCCCTTCATGATCATTAGCGGATTTGCACACAGCCTGTCGTTGTCTTAGCCGGACGTCACTTGTTATATTCTTAGGGCGGTCCAACTTTGTACAATACTGTTTTTTTTTCATGAAATTTACGTCAGTGCATCGTCAAATTTGACTGTACCACGAGGCTTACTCCGAACATACTCTGTCAAGTTTTCAAGTGTACAATTCGGCCGTCTGACAAGGTATAATTACGAGGCCAGGTAGGCGTATATGTACAAAGTTAGGCCCGCCCTTAATCTCTGTGCACTAGATATATTCTTATCGTATGTTTATACTCATAGCCTGGCCTTCTAGCCATTTGTTTCAGAGGCTCGACTAGTAATGCCGCCCTGATTTCATGCTTTTCTTTTTGGCACTGCCCCTTACGTGGTTTATGGGTGTGTCAAAGTACCGTACACATGCCTTATATTTGCATGTGTTTTTGTGAGCTAGATTGGGTTGTGCTACATAGGTGTCTAGAATATGTTATTCTTATATAATTGCATGTCTAGCTAGTAGTGTAGTATCACCCTATCTTAGGTGGTCTACCTCCCTTCACCACCTCCCCTTTCCTATAACTTGTACTCCCAATGTTATTGCGACCCTCTTCCAGGGCTAATTTTTGGTTTTGACCAACCCTTAGGATCAGTCTAGCACCTGTTCAAAAACCTGATTTTCAGGGTTACCCGTTGTGGAAAAACTGATGCGTCAGGGTTTTTGAATGTGTTAAAAAAACTACCCTGAAGCATCAATGTACCAATTCGCTCCGCGTTCCAGCACACGTAATGTCATGCCGAAATCTACAGTTTCGACAGTTGTGTCAAACATTATACATGTTGTATTTGTGTAGGCTGTAGTGGGTTAGCCTATAGGGGGGTCACAACATTAGGGTTTCATATTTGTACTCACAATCCTTGCTAGTCCATCATTCCTGCCTGTTCATTCTGACATGGTATCAGAGCAGGTCCTTTGCTAGGACCGCTCCTAGGGCCCACCGCTACCTACCTACCTACCTACCTATCGTGCGCCCTCGTGCGCCCTCGTGCGCCCTCGTGCGCCTCTCACTACCGAGCGCC